AAGCCATTTTTCTCTCTTGTTACTACAGGCTGCTGAGGTATAACACTGGCAGAAAAAACTGAGCTGTTTATAAAGAGGGTAGTGTGAGAAGGGGAGTGAATAGGACCTTCTTCTCACCCCTGGCATTCAGAGGATGTGGCCACAGCAGGACCTTTAAACCTCATGTCACACCAAACTGATGGTCAGTAATCGGCCACTGTCAGGCCATTTGTGAGCATATGAGCTCTTTTTCACACATGACCCCTTGGTAGGTGAGACTAATTGCAGGCTAAATATTATTTTTAAATAAAAAATTTAAGTGGCACAAAGAAGTCAAAGTCTTTATAATCTTTTTTCCTTTCTTCCTCAGCTTATCCATTACATGAAACAAGCTAATTTTTATGCACTGGGAGAGAAAGTCATCATGGATCAAAATGGTGACCCTAGTGCTTATTATGATCTCATGAACTGGCAGAAGAGGCCTGATGGTTCAGTGCATTTGGTTAAAGTAGGCTTCTATGATGCCTCGTCGCCTACCAGGCATGGCCTGGTCATAAATGACTCAGTGATCCAGTGGCCTGTTGGGAAGCAGGTGTGTTCTTTGCAAACAGGCTTGAGACCATGTTCACCTCTTAGACTGCTGTATGCACTGCTGATCAACACATCTGCCAAGTTGTTGTTATTAGTGTGCAATATGCTTTGTTGTTAAACTAACAATAGAAAATGTCAACTTCAAATAGAACCTACTCAAGATGACATCAATTGTATATGAATGCCGTGAATATAAACCTTATTAATTACTCAGTACTGTGATAATTTCTAATTAAAGTGTTCCATGTTGATAGCTACATTTATGACTAGGCCGTAGCTGTGTGATTAGAGAGTAAAATTCTAGAGTAAAATATGAAGCCATTAATTATATTGCAGTACAGCTCTTAATGTTCTAAAATATTTAAAATATGTCACATTACAGTTAAAGATGCAGTAATTATGTTTCTAAGAGATATAATATTTTGTTAGTGGGTATTGTATAATGTTAATAATTATGGTGCTACATCTCACAAAGGCATGAGCATTTCTTTGTTGATCATCTGGTGATCATAAGAGTTCAGAATTTGTGTAACAGTTACCCCATTTGTGTAACCATGTTAATGACTTATTAGGAATTGTATTTGCTGTAAAACACCTTTTTTGTCACATTAGATTCAGTTTTACTTTTAGTCTGTATCTGAAATAGAAGCTCCAGAAACCAGTCACAGAACTGCATAGTCATATTGATTGAAATCAGTGCTTTTCTGAGTGGCTGAACTTTGCCTCTCAGGCATCTGGGTCTGTATGCAGCAAAAGTTGTCCTCCAGGTTCCCGCATCACCAGGAGAAAGGGGGAACCCATCTGCTGTTTTGACTGTGTCCCCTGTGCTGAGGGAGAAGTTAGTAATATGACTGGTGTGTTGACGGTCTAATATTACCCCTTCACTCCTGTTATCCAAATAGAAATTGACCTGATTGTACCTCACTGTAGCTTTTCCAAACTGAAAAGTGTTGTTTTCTCTCTGATGCCAGATTCTTTAGAGTGCTCACGCTGTCCACAACACACATGGTCCAGTAAAGACAGAGATCTCTGCATCCCAAAGACTATCGAATACCTGTCTTACCATGAGTTAACAGGTATTGTGCTGTGTGTTGTATCTGTCCTTGGTGCTTGTATTTCCCTCTCCATCCTGGGAATCTTCTGCACATACAGAGACACACCACTGGTTCGGGCCAACAACATGGAACTGAGCTTTCTTCTCTTGGTGTTCCTTGCTGTCTGTTTTCTTGTTGGCCTGTTGTTCATTGGTAAGCCCTCAGACTGGTTGTGCCTTATCAGGTACCCAGCATTTGGGATTAGTTTTGCCCTCTGTATTTCATGTCTCCTGGCCAAGACAGCAGTGGTCCTAATGGCTTTTAAGTCTACACTGCCAAAAAGTAATGTCATGAAGTGGTTTGGACCCAGCCAGCAGAGAGCCAGTGTGCTTTTAGGAACAGCTGTCCAGGTAAAAGCACCTTCCATATGAGAACTCTGTAAATGTTTTCTTAGTTGTGTTGATTAAAAATGAACATCTTTCTGTTTCCCCCCTGCTCAGGTAATAATCTGTCTTATTTGGCTGCTCACCAGTCCACCTCATGCCAACAACAACACAGATTATCACAGCGATATCATCATCATCGAGTGTGTTACTGGTTCAGAAGTTGGTTTCTGGTGTGTTCTAGGATACATTGGCATCCTGGCCTGTATGTGCTTCCAAATGGCCTTTTTGGCTCGGAAGCTGCCTGATAATTTTAACGAGGCAAAGTTCATCACCTTCAGTATGCTGATTTTCTTTGTCATGTGGATTACTTTTATCCCAGTGTATGTAAGCACAGCAGGAAAATACACAGTGGCTGTTCATATATTTGCCATTTTAGCTTCGGCTTGTGGACTCATAATTTGTATTTTTGCTCCGAAGTGCTATGTCATCATTTTGAAACCTGAAAAAAACTCCAAGAAAAACATGATGCAAAGATGCTGATAAGGAATTTACATGAATAATTACATGGGATGTATGCATATATAATTTCAATGATTGCTAAATAAAAGGGAACACTTTCATGGTGAAAAGAGTCATTTTGATAGCTTTTTTAAAGTGTGTTACTTAAATTAAGAAGATAAAAATACACATCTGTTTCCAAATAACGTGTGGTTTTATTTAATAAAGAAAAATGCTTAAACATTTTTAAAGTAATGTTTTGACAAACAAAAATGATCAGCCATGTGTTTTTTTTTATATCAGTTACAGTACTTTAGACAAAACAATGACTTTTGCATTACTGCGTTTTCGGATGTGCACAAAACCCAACCCAGCATTAGGACATTGACATGATGCGTGCACAGAATGTGATTTTAAGTCATTCATCTCA